CATCTTTGTGTTGAACATTAGGATCAACTTGTTCCTTCAGCAACAGTTCAACTATTTGAGTGTGACCATTTGCACAAGCCATCAAAAAAGCATTCAAACCATCGCTGTCTTGAACATTAGGATCAACTTGTTCCTTCAGCAACAGTTCAACTATTTGAGTGTGACCATTTTTACAAGCAAACATAAAAGCATTCGAACCATCTTCTCGTTGATGTTTATAATCAACTCCTTTACTAATTAATAGCCTAACAACTTCATAGTTACCACAGTTACTAGCAATTATTACAGCATTTGATCCATTTGATTTCTTCAGGTGAGGATTAGCATTAGCTTGTAGTAACATGTGAATGATTGAAATGTGATTATGTTCACTTGCCATCATTAGTGCAGTCCATCCTTCATTGTCCTGAATGTCAACATTAGCTCCAGCAGACAGTAAACTGTGTACAATGTCCTCATGTCCTCTTTCACAAGCTAACATTAGTGCTGTCTTGCCTTCTTCATTAGTATGATCAATATTAACAGTTTCTAGTTGAAGAAGAAACTCTACTGCTTCATTATTACCAGCTGTGACTGCCTCAAGAAGAGCAAATTCAAAGGTGAAGTTTATATTCTCATCTTCTTGAAGGACAGGATGATCATTAATGTATAAACTAAATATACCAATGAGACACATAAACTGTAACTTTCCTCCAGTATATTCTATTAGACTATCAGCTATAAAATCAAGAGTGTAATAATGTATTGTTACTGATCCAGGTATAATCTCAATGTATTGCAGTATTGATTGCTTTGAATCAAGTGGCAGCATTTTTCCAATTAATCGCTTTAATCCTTTCATGTTTATTTCACTCCACCTGTTATTTAATTTTATTATTATCTTTGGCATTTTTGTTAAATCATTTGTGAAATATGGCTTGTATAGTGATAGTAAGTCGTTTTTCAGTTGCTCGATAGTTGTTGAAGAATAAAAATTCTCTGCATCTTCATGATGTGCACCAAGTTCATTTGCAAGCTCTTGTTCCTCTGGTATCAATGCTTGGCACATGTCCATTATCAGGTCAAAGTCAATGGAGTCATAAATGGGACGAATGATATCAAATATTTCTTCAATGGTGTTAGTATGAGGTATTTTGGTACCCATACTAATGTGATCAGTCAGATAATCACTGTTTTTGAGCCACAATTTAATTTTGTGTAGTAAATCTGGTTTTTCTGCTACACATTTAATAAATGTTTCATTGACTCTTACCATCAGTGAGGTAAAGTTCCTTTCAATTTTATTTAATAAATCTCGAGTATTTATTTCTTCTTCTTTTGTTGCAGAACTACTATTTTCTATTGTTAGTAGTGATGTGTTCAACACAGACAAATGGGGTACATCTTTGCTCAACTGGTGTAATATAGAGATAGCAATATCTGTTAGTGTACGATGTTGTTGGTTTATTAATACATGACATATATCAATAAGATACTGCTCTGGATTATGAGAGGATTCCAACTGTCGTTGTATCACAGACACTAATTGACTTGATTTCCTATAATCAGATATTCCTGTTACTGTAGTATCCAGTGGTATCAGTCCTTCAGCATACAGTGCATCAGTTACTCTGTAAAGGTTAGTAGTAATAGCATCAGTGAGTTTAACAGAATGAGTCCTTGATATATCCTTTGGATTACCTGCAGTAGTGTATCAGTAAATGAATGTTGTATTAAGTGTATGTTTACCTGTTACAGGACCAGGATTAGCATTACTGGTACTGACTTCCATATCATCATTAGTACTTCTTCCAGCTGTGAGATCTGTCACTTTGTCTTCAATAGTTCTAGCTAGTTCATTCTCTTTACATTGTTTCAAAGCATTAATGACATCTCTCCATGATGCTGTAGCATTAACTTGTAACCATCTCTTATGTAAAGCCATTTTGATGAGGTGAGCATTTCTTTTCTTTTTATCAATTATATTGACATCAGATTGTGTTATTCCAGGAAGACAAAGAGCAAATAGTTTCCAGTCAACAAGTGGTTTAAGACACTTTGCAAATAAGAGACAAGTTGGTTGATTATCAATCATAGGACCAGGATTGAGTTCTGATTTGAGAAACAGAATATACAGATGCACATAATAAAAAAGTCATAACAATTACGCATAAATATCAATTACTTATTAGTAACTGGTATATGTTTACCTGATGTAGTTCTATTAACAGGTTTATTAATTACAGGAACTGGTGATGATACTACTACTGGTACAGTACTAGTAGGAGCACCTATTAGGAATAGCAATTGATAGAGTTAATATAATTATGTCATACTTGATGTAGGTTCATTAGTTAGGTCTATTATTTCCATATCCTCTGTTCCTTCAGTAATTTTTTTCATTTGATGCTCAATATTATTAACTAGTTTATTCTCTTTACATTGTTTCAAAGCATTAATGACATCTCTCCATGATGCTGTAGGATTAACTTGTAACCATCTCTTACGTAAAGCCATTTTCATGAGGTGAGCATTTCTTTTCTTTTTATCAATTATATTGACATCATATTGGGTTATTCCAGGAAGACAAAGAGCAAATGGTTTCCAGTCAACAAGTGGTTTAAGACACTTTGCAAATAAGAGACAAGATGGTTGATCATCAATCAAAGGACCAGAATTGAGTTCTAATTTAATATACAAATACACATAATAAAAATGTCATAACAATTACATCAATTACTTATTAGTAGTCTAACTGGTATATGTTTACCTGATGTAGTACTAGTAACAGGTTTATTAATAACAGAAACTGATGATGATACGGTAGATATTGGTACAGGAGCATCAGTATTACCTATTATACATTAATATATATATTATTAAATGTGAATACATGATCATACCTCCTGTGCATTGATGTACTTGTAACTGATCTTTAGCAGTTAGTAATACCGGTAAATTGATCTCTTCTGTTTTAATCAAAGCATTAATTAAATCTCTCCATGTTGCCTTAGGATTCTTTTCAAGCCATTGAGAAAAAAGACCGTTTTTCCTTTGTTTAGTATCAGTTTTAAATCCTTTAATTATTGTAATATCTTCTTGTGTTATTCCAGGTAAGAGAAGACCAAATGATTGCCAGTCAACAAGTGCTGGTTCAAGCCACTGATTTAGCAACATGAGATCAGGTTTTGTATAAGCAGAGATTAATCCTTTTAATCTCAGTGTAGTTGCCATCGCTAGTGCAGTCCATCCTTTGGTGTCCTGAATGTTAACATTAGCTCCAACAGACAGTAAACTGTGTACAATGTCCTCATGTCCTCTTTCACAAGCTAACATTAGTGCTGTCTTGCCTTCTTCATTAGTATGATCAATATTAACAGTTTCTAGTTGAAGAAGAAACTCTACTGCTTCATTATTACCAGCTGTGACTGCCTCAAGGAGAGCTAGTTCAAAGGTAAAGTTCATATTCTCATCTTCTTGAAGGACAGGATCATCATTAATGTATAAACTAAATACACCAATGAGACGCATAAACTGCAGTTTTGTTTGAAGATGTTCCTTTAACATGTCAGCAGTACAATCTTGAACATGATAAATGATAGTGACAGACCCAGGAATAATATCAATATAATCAATTAATGATTGGCTTGATTTGAATGGTAGCAACTTTTTTATAAAACTATGCAGGATTTCTTTTTTGACATCAAGCCATTTATCTTGTAACTTAACAAAAATCTTGGGCATGTTTTTAAAATCTGTTGCTAAATGTGGACGATATTTTTTCTCCAGATCTTCTTTCAGTTGTTGCACTGTGGTTGATTGACAAAATTCTTTAGCTCTTTCATGATGAGATTCAAGCTTTGAAACTTCTTCTTTAGCATCTGGTATAAATTGATGACACATGTTAACTAATACTGCACAGTCAGTACAGTCATAAAGAGGACGTATGGCTGTTAATACATCAGTTAAAGTAGACACATTGTTTATTGTAGCAACAGTATCAGCATGATATTTTAAATCTTCTCTGTATCTTAACCATGTTGTAATCTTTTTGAGTAATTTAGGATTGTTTTGAATTTCATTATCAAAGGCTTCTTCTATGTCCATCATTACCAAAGAGAAATTATCATTCAACTCCTTTAATGAGTCACGAGTGCCTTCTTCATCATGAAGCTTGATATAATCAGTCTGATCATCATGTTGAGTTTCGTCCTGATTACCTACATAGTGTAATAGCTCATGAGTGTCAGTTTTAATTAGTACTTACCTGAAAGAGTTGGTACAGCTGCTGGTATTGGTAATAATGATTCCATATCAAATACTTTTCCCCATTCACTATCTAATGATCTAGCAACAGTATCAGTTGGTCCACCTTGAGATATACACTCAAGAAACACTTGACAGTATCTTTTTAAATCTGTAATATCTTTCAATAATGAGAGCTTAGCATTAAACTCTTGCATCATTTTACTGTAACTTTGTGATTCAGAATCTTTTACTGATTCTGTAATAACATTATTAGCATACAGCTTTGACAATATGTCACTGAGACTTCCTCTGGTTGCTCTTTCCAAAGTATCATAATGCGAACGAAGTATCTGTTGCAGATTTATACAAGCTTTAATATAATAGCAATAATTAAAATTAATAACTAAATGTATCCTAACCTTCTTCAACAGTAGGTCCAGGATTGAGTTCAACATCTCCTGATAAGAGGAGGAGGAGACGAGAAATTAAAGAGAGCATGTTAATATCTCCAGGTAATACTACTGACTGGAGGGTATCAGTAACAATATCACCAGTAGTACATTGTACTTGATAACAGTAACAATGACCTAATGATACATACAGTGTATAATGTACATATGAAGTATAGCTATTGATTTACCTGGTGGAGGAATTGAATTGTGTTTCGATAAAAGGACACAAAAATAAATGACAATAAAACCAATAATAAACAGAACTGCTGGCAGTGTACATCTCTTCTCTTCTTGTATATATCCAGTACTATCTGACTCACTGTCTTCAGTAGTAGCTTTAATCAATTGATCCTGACAGCATTCACTAGCTGGTCCACTGGAGGCAGGTCTACAATATTTCTTAAATACAATACTTTCTCTGGAGGCAGCTTGACAGTAGTTCCACAGTCCA